TTGTGCTTGCCAGGCAGGAGCTGTGCCACTGAGCTAAATCCCCAGCCCCTCCCAATTCTATTAAAAAGAAAAAGAAACAGAAAGGCTGAAAGACATACCAAGCCTCACTTGAGCTGCTTCAGTAGGAGCTCATCATAGCGTGCAGCTTCACTCTCGCGTTCCGCTTGGCACTAGCGGGCTTCTTGCATTCCGCTGAGTTTATCAGACTCCCACAAGCCATCCCCTCCACTATGCCTGCCCACAACTGCCCCAGACAAGAGAACCATCCAGTCATTTCATGAAAGACCCAAGACGCACAGACGAAGCTCTGTCAAAGCAGCACCTTCTTCTCTTCTCCCTGGATGGAGGCAGTGAGAGAGGAGCCCTGAAGTCCTTTTCCATTTCAGGTGGGATTGTAGGCTGTGGCTTATACCGCTCCTTTTCCCCTCCTTTCTATCTGGCACATAGTAAGCTCTCAGTAACTGCTGACAGATCTTACAATAACTCCGGGGTAACATACAAGCTCTCTGTCCACGCCTTGGCATAAGAAAGTAGAACTTAAAAAAACACTGACTTAGCCAAGAAATCTTAATTAACATGTACTCCTTTCAAAATGCATACTTATGTGCTTTATATCATCTATGTTCACTTTAAATACTGAAGTTATATGTAAGTTCCAGTTTCAACACGAGTTAGTTGCTCTCATCAAGAACCCAGCTGAGGGGCCAGGGATTCAGCTCAGTGGCACAGCGCCTGCCTGGCAAGCACAGGGCCCTGGGTTCATTCCTAGTACCCTCCCCCTCCCCCCAAAAAAAGAAAGAAAAAAAAGAATGCAGTTGAGAGTTGGGCATGGGGGAGCACACCCGCAATCCCAACACTCAGAAGGCTGAGGCAGGAGGATTGCTGTAAGTTCAAGGCCAGTCTGAACTACACAGTGAAACTCTGTCTCAGAAAATCATACTCAGAGAACCACAAGTACTTCCATTATTGATAATCTGATTGATAGCTAAGGTTTTGTTAATATGCACATTTAATGCCAGGACTATCAGGGAAGTGGTTCACAGACTAACCGTATCAGAACTTTGCTCTTTCGAGTAAAATCAGATTAGATCCATCCAGGCCTGTAATTTATAACTTCCTTAAAGAATGTGCCTGGGTCTCAATTACTTGTTTTTATTCCTTTCTTTAGAATTGCTGATTCCTTGATACTAACCATAAAAGTAAAGCAATCTTTTGGGAGACTGCTTTGTCTGCAGGCGTAAATCTTCCTTTTAAGGACTGTTAGAGAATCTCAAAGGACGGAGTTAGGACTGCACTGAGGTTATTAGCTAAGCTCTTGTGCCCGTTTTGTTCAGTAACTGAATGAACGTGAAAGCTGGTAATGCAAACGTCAACGAGTAGCTACTCGCGCCCACCTCAACTTTAAGGCTGGTAACTGTCTACCAGAAAGAAGCTAAGAGTTGAAAACAAAAACTTAGCATGGTTCAGTTCACAACAACCCTCACACGATACACACTTAAAACTTTTAATTTTATTTGAAACATTTCACATTAAATGAAATTCAACCATAACCATTACAGAGCATTACCACAATAATATACACAAAAAAACTTAAAAGACAAAAGGATACAATTTTCAACAAGTTAAATGCCATTTTACTGTGTAAACAAAAGTAAAACAAAACCCTGATGCTAAAAAGGTACATCTTCAGAGGTAAAAGATAGATACAAAAACATTTACACATCAACATTATTCACAACTAGATCACATTCTCTGCAAGAGTACAAATGTTAGTACTCTACATCTACAAAATTTCAGAATCCTGTTAAAATCAAAACCATCTCTGGTTTTTGATACAGCACAATTCATAAGGCAAAAATATATAGGCATTATCATCCAGTTCTTTAATTTCACTTGTATTTTAAGGCAAACTTGGAACTTTTTGCTTAGTCTTTTAAAATAAATGGGACCTTACACATGATAACTTGACAAAATTAACAATAAATTATCTCTATGTATAATATAAAAGACAAATGGATAACAATTTTTCTCTCTGCAGAGATGTAAACTGGATTTTCATTTGACTCCATATTCACACTAGTAAGAAAATTTGTAAACCTATAATATTGAAAACAGGTTGTATTTATTGTATTTCTCAGTCTTCTCCAATGTGTGTCAACACTGAATCAATATACTGTAATATATTTCCAGCCACAGAATTGTTGTCTAATTAAATCATGTCTAAAGTGCTGTTTATACAGGTGGGGGAAAAGGTTAAGAAGTAGAACTGGATGTTAACTTGACATGTGACATAATTTCTTAACTTTCTGACTACAGAGGTTATAGAGGTTATCACGAGTTCATTGAACTTGAAGCAGTAAGTTTATTGTAGAGTCTGATTTTCCTGAAAATAAGCACTTAGGTGACAACACTAGGAATCGAACACCAAAATCAAAAAAAGAAACAGCCTGATACGTACAGGGTTCCCTCAGTGTCAGTGACAGGCTTCATACTCCAGGATATAGCTTCTTTTCTCCCCTGACTTTTGTTTTTCTTCTAGAAGAGGCACTCTCCAATTCTAGAAGATGTGGAGTTCTATCTATAAACGTTAGATTGTTCATAATTCTTTTTCATGCCATTAAAACCTACTTGAACACTAAATAATTTTTTAGACGTTAACTGGGTTTCCACTCACTTTTTAGGATGTTGGAAATAAGGAATTAGATTCATACTTTACCATAGTTGTTACTGTGATACAGGACTCCTCTACTATATTTTACTCTTTGGAGTGAAAAGAGTGTATGTATTTCTATCTCTAGCCTCCGCCGCATCTAACACAGTATCTCACACATATAGTTGACCCTCCATATGCAGCAAACTACCAAAGTATACTTTCAAAACCTAATGCTATCTTCCTATCACTTGATACCACTTCCTATCATTTAATATTCATTCATATTTAAAACAATATTAACAATGACAAATGGAACTCATAAATATCCTTCAGGTTATATTAAAAAATCAGTTAAATAAATATTAAATAGCCAAACATTCCTAACAAATTCTGTCTTTGTAACATAATTATCGGAGACAATCATCTTGCAATTTATTTAATTTCTATTTCGCTTGGCATTATTTTCTAAAATATTCCTGGGCAATTTTAAACAGCATTCCTATCCTTGACTGAGTATGTAGAATCCTTTCCAATACCATTAAACCCGGGGACTTATAACATTTATATCCTTATAAGTCATGAATCATGTGGCTTTAAATTCGCAATTTGTCAGCAAAATATTCCAAATAAAATTCTCACAAAGTTTTCAGAGAAGGATTTATAGTAAACTTATCAGTTGTCAGGTCACAGTAACAGCTCTTGCTGTTATGACCAGCACAACAGTAATCCTATGATAAGTGTATTTCTAAATTTTAAATGCGTTTTTCTTTTACCTTCACAGGTGTTCGTAATTTGTTCATGGGACTGGGCTCTTATTATTGATATTTCACATTTAATTTGCATCAAGATGAACATCATATTTTTCAAAAAAATGATCAATATATGATTTTGATAGGATTTGCCAAGTGATTATATGTTTTCTAGTAATTTGATAGTGGAAAAAACATCATTAAAACATTGCATAACATAGATGTGTTTACAATTAAAATAATTGTCTACAGTCTTTCAAATTCCTACCTTTTTGGGAGAAGGGGATTAAGAACAGTGTAAGAAGGTATATTTAGTAATTTGTATTATGGTTTATATGTAGATGCCCCACCCCAAGCGTGCTGTGCTCATAGGTAAGGCTTTTGGGAGATGACTGGACCATGGGGGCTTAGTACTCACAAGTCCACTGATGAGTTTATAGTTAAATGGAAAGATGGAAGGTGAAGCCTGGTTGGAGGGGGTGGGTGGCTGGGGGCGTGGCCTAGAAGGACCTCTCTCCCTCCTCCTCCCTTGATCTCCCTCAGCTTCCCACACCATGCCATGAGCTCTCTTCTTTGCCATGCCGCCCTGCCTATGAGCCAGCTGACTGGACAGAAACCTCCACAGACTGTAAGTCAAAATAAACTTTTCCTCCCTTAACTTGCCGGTGTTGGGTATTTTGCCCCCTCAGTAAGAAAAGTGACTAAGACAATTTGATTGACATAAACAAAGAAACTGAGTTCGGGATTTAAAACTAAGTACTGTAAGTGGTGGAATCTATTTCAAATTGCTTTTCTTTAAGGTTTAGGCCAACCACAATAGTGCACCTTATTTCTATTCAACAGATTTATTCAAATCAATGAAAAAGTTATTGCTATATATCATTATGTTATTCAAATAAGCAACATAGAAAATACTCAGCTGACTTTATCAGTAGCTCCTGTTGGGTTCTAAGTCAGAAGAGACTAAAAATCACTTGCAAGGTTTTATAATCTGTGCAAATACTTGTAAAGCCTGATACTACTTTTATGATTAAAGATGATTTTACATAGTTTTGTAGCATACACTGAACTCTACAACTGGTAACTTATGGAAGAGCAAGGAAAACTGCAAATTGCCTGGATATAGTTTTTAAGAAATAACATATAACTGAACCTATGTTTTATAATTACAGATGGCTTCTTAACAAGTTTGAATATTATGGCACTTAAGAATGCAGTATGAATTTTTCTTAGGAAAAATATACACTGGTCCTGCAGAGGCATATAAAGCAATAGTGGGAGGGGGAAGAGGAAATGAAAACAAAATGCCTATAGTACCAAAACCACAAACACAAATGCTAATATCATAATAAAATGCAAGCTAATATTTTCAAGACTAAGAGACATCTACTAACACATGCTAAACTAAAATAAGTTAACCATTTCTTTTAAATAAGCTGTCACTGGCTATAGCAAACAATTTTGTTTTCAAAGATTGCTTCTTTCATCAAAGCAGATTTGAATTTTGGATCATTAATCAAGTAAACATGGAGTTCTATTTTTCCTCAATAGCTTTAAAATATTCAGTTACCTAAGAAATATACAAAGTAATGCATAACTGTTTAGTGTCTTATATTTAATGCATATATTTGTTTTTAAGAAGGACATGTAATATCTAGCACAAGAAGAAAGATAAAAATGTATCTTTCTTTAAACCACTATTCAGGAACCATGAAAAGCATAACACAGACCATTTAGATGAGTTTTGGATGTTAATGTTGATGTACTCACTATTATAAGCACGAATGAATCAAGCCAGTAAAAATGAAAAGGACCATCAAAATATGTCATGCATATCTTAAGCATCCAAAAGAATATTGGTTATAATCTGTTATCGATCCTACAGTTAGCACCATTTTTATATTTGAACACTTTGAAAAAGCAAAGACCTTGAAATGAAAATTATTATGAGGGAATATGAAAAAATTAATATGCACTAAAGTACTAAATACTACAAATATTTACATCAACACTGGGAAGCTTGCTGTACTGCTAAGAAAAAACTGAAATACCTGCTCTGATTAACTCCTTCTATTCATGCTTATCATAGCATAGATGAGTAACTAAATCTGTCCAGCATTAACCTGCCCATATATATAAAAGGCCTGGGGCTAGGGATTTAGCTCAGCGGCAAAGTGCCTGCCTGGCAAGCGCAAGGTTGTGAGTTCAGTTCCCAGTGCCGGAGAAAAACCAAAAAAAAATAAAATAAAATAAAATAAAATAAAAGGCATAAACAGTAAGTAGCTGACTTCTTAAAATAGGGTTCCAAATATGATAATAAAAGCAACTGTCTTACAAACTTATACCACCAGTCCTAAAACCATTTAGCAGAAAGAAGATACAGATGACTCACCAGGGCACATTATTTACAATCTTTAAAAGTACCAGAAGTAAAAGCAGCCCTTTGTTTTAAGACACATAAAGCGTAAGAATTTATATGTGACAAGCAGTATAAGCAATCTGTCCAGTCATTCAACATACTTCAGAGTTCTAAAGCCTCTCTCATCCCTATAACTCATAATACATACATGTCAAGGAAGGAGAGCTGAAATGAAAAGAAAGACAAAAAGCAGCAAGGTTTTCTCCATATGTATGTTTAAGAACTATCCCAGTTTTGAGGGGAAAAATGCACAACTCAATTGGCAAGGTCTTGTTTTTTTTATGATGGATTTACTGCATAATCAAGAGCAACCAAAACTAGTCAATTCAAAGTATCCCACAAACTGTGAGTCTTCATGCCACTTGCAGTTACAAAGAAGCAATGCAGCTTTTAGAAAACTGGGCATCCTTTCACGTGGCCAAGTTTCACCACCATGCTATGGCCAGGCATTCACACGTGTCAGAGTGCAGTCAGTCCAAAATTGCAGCGACAGTAGATCATGCCTGCTGAATCCACCCAAGTGTCTGAGATAGGGTCATATTTCTGCACTGTGTTCAGATAGGAAGACCCTGAGTGACCACCAACTACATACAGGTAGTTATCAATTACTGCAGCACCAACTCCTAAGAAGGGAGGGGGAAAAGGAGAAACATGTTGAACCATGAAGTAAGTGTTTTTCTCACTAAAAACCAATGAGTTTGTATTTTAATGTTTTCTTGAAATACCTTTCAACAATTACAATTATACGAGCAATACAGCAACATATACTTACTGGAAAAAGGACCCTTAATATAAAAGTAAGAGTTGAAGTCTTTCTTTACCTCCACTGTCTAATCCTACTTTCCTTCTCCCTTCACTCCAGGAAAGTATTATTATTTTTTAAATACACATTTATTTTTAATTGATACATAGTAATTGTACGTAGTCATAGGTACAGAGTGACATTTCAATCCAAGTATACAACGCATAATGATCAGATCAGGATAACTGGAGGGAAAGTATTGAGAATACAGTGTATAAGGGCTGGAGACATAGCTCAGCAGTACAGCGCCTGCCGGGCAAGCGCAAGGTCCTGAGTTTGATTCAGGGTACACCCCCCACCCCACCCCCCGCACAAAAAGGGAATATAGTGCATTTCTAGCCAGGCATGGTGGCACATGCCTATAATCCCATCACTCAGGAGGTTGAGGCAGGAGGACAGCTACAAGTTTGAGGCCAGCCTGGGCTACATAGTGAGTTCAAGGCCAGCCTGAACTAAATAGTAAGACCCTGTCTCAAAAAAAAAAAAGTATATTTCTATATGTTTTATAATCAACATATTTATATACATTTTTCTAGAAATCATTTTATCAGATTTTCAAATATATTGATACATAATTTATGCTTTAAAAATATCCTTTAGGGGCCGGGGATATAGCTCAGCGGCATAAGCGCTTGCCTGGCAAGCCTGAGGTCATGAGTTCAATTCCCAGTACCAAAAAAACAACAAAAAAAATATCCTTCAGGTATTGTCACATATTGTTCTAAAAGAGAACAAACCTACTCACAGTTTTAGAGTTATTGTTTTCATGGCTTTCCCTGTCAAGAATATCTAAGAAACTAATTGTAGTAAACACTGAAATGGTTTATTACATTTTGTCCTTTTAATTTCCCTTGAATATTTATGTTTCAAGTGTTTCTTAAATCATGAATATAAAGAATACTCCTGGACATTTTACCTCTACACTACATGCCCAGCAAGGAATACTTCTAAAGAATTTCGATCAGTAAGTTAAAACCTGTCCTATAAAATGTGACTTGAGTTTGGATTCAAAAATAACAATTTCTTCTAAAGTTCAACAGTATATTTGCTTTTTCTCTAGCCACCTTGAAATCCCACCCTGTGGAGATCAACTATATTTCTGGATCACCTTGGAGAAAGAACATATAAAAGTGAAGATATGGATTTTTCTCTTTTTTTGGTACCAGGAATCAAACTTAGAACCCTGCACTTGCCAGGCAGGTGCTTGTGCCACTGAGCTATATCCCTGGCCAAGATACGGAGTACTGATGTGCAAACCAGAACGACTGTGAGAGTGAATGAAAAAGAAACAAACAGCGACATCTGTTATAATGCACAAAAAGCACTTAGAGAAAGCGACACCCTATTAGCATTTCCCAAAGTGTGTACTCCAAATTGGAGAAAGGACAATATGCACACTGGTGTATTTAAAGCACAGTAAAGAAATCTATGCAGTTCTATCTAGCTAGTTGTCTTTCAAGTTTACTACAAAAAAGGTTTTTCTGGACAAGTTATATCCTTGCTACTATATTCTAATTGCTGTACTATTTCAAGAGCATTATTACAGAAAACACTGCCCTACATGTTTAGAAATTAATAAACTATGTTTACCTGTTCTGGGTTCTTTCATTGGTCTACACACAGTCCACTGATTTTGATGAGGGTCGTATCTTTCAATGCTTGACAAATGTGAGACACCATTATGTCCGCCCACGACAAAAATAAAGCCTAACATAACGCCCACACCAAAGTGAATCCTTTTATCCGCCATGGAAGCAACCATCTCCCAGGAGTCCTTGCTTGGATCATATCGCTCCACACTGCAAAAATTTACATGAAAAAGACTTAGTTTACAGGTGCTTTGTGTTATCTTCCTGCCAACGCAAAATGAAACCCAGTATAAAAAAGTTCAAATCAGTAGACATAAAGTAAGAGTCATTTGTTCAAAATTAGTTAAGACTGTATCGCTGAGACTGCAGGGATAAGGCTTACGTCTGGACCCCGGGAAATAACAGCCATAGCCTATTTCATTATAAGCTTTTCGTTGGTGTTTGTTTGTTTTGTTTTTTGAGACAGGGTCTCGTTGTATAGTTCAGGCTGCCCCTGAACTCACTGTGTAGCCCAGGCTGACCTTGAACTTGCGGCAATCCTCCTGCCTCAACCTCCCAAGTGCTGGGATTACAGGTGTGCACGCCACCACACCCAGAAAGCTTTTCTTGGTATCTCCAGGTTTGGTTCCAGGGCTTAGTAGATGCTCAAGTCCCGTATATAAAATGGTGTAGTGTCTATGTGTAACCACCTATGTACTTCAAACCATCTCTTGATTACTTATTCCTAATACAATGTAAATGATGACAAACAGTTGTTTTACTGTATTGTTTGGGGAATAATAACAAAGGATTAAAAGTCTGTACATGTTCAGTATGTGTGCAATTATTTTTTTCAAATATTTTTGATCCAAAGTTGGTTGAACCAGCCAGGGATGTAGGTCAGTGGCAAAAGTGCCTGCCTGGCAAGCGCAAGGTCCTGAGTTCGATTCCTGGTACCAAAAAAAAAAATCAAAGTTGGTTGAACCTACAGGTGCTAATCCTACAGATACAGAGCTGACTGCATTACACAATCAACAAGGTATATTAAGGGCACAGGACTGAAGTCAAAAGACCTAGGTTAAATACTAATCTGCATACCAGAGCTGGACTAGCCCTGCCACTTTAGATCTGTGTAATCCTAAGTCATTTCTTCACCTGCAAAAATGGAACTAGTAGGAGAAAATAAGAGAAAAAAAAAAAATCTCTCTCTATATATAGGTATATATATATGCAAGAGAGCTAAGACAATTATACTACTAATTTCTATTAGTTCATTTAAAAGAATGGTTTGCGCTTATATTGTTTGATTAATTTTCCATGCCTATATCTTATAATCTGAACTACTATGAAGACAATATGCAATACACTAACCATTATTAATCTCCTATTATTGTGTTTTGAAATTCTGTATCATTGTTTTTATTTTTTTCTCTTTAAAATAAAAAAAAAAAAATGAAACTAGTGCAACCTCAAAGGAATCATGTTAGAATAAAGTCAAATAAGTATTGCAGGTACAGGTACTGTGGAAGCTAAAACTGAACACTGATTTTTTTTTTTTTAAAGAATGCTAAAGATACACAGCTAAGAAAAAGGGAATAGAAAAAGCATTTTTTTTTTTTTTTGCCTTGCAGGAGAACCTATATGGTTTAAACCAAAGTAATCACTGCAGATTCTATAACACAAACTGGCTATTCAGAATAACCACAGTGGGGGCTGGGGATTTAGCTCAGTGGCACAGCACCTGCCTGGCAAGCAAGCACAACATCATGAGTTCAATTCCCGGTACCGGAAAAAAAACCCAAAACACCAAAAAACAGAATAACCCCGACTGACTGAGGAACACTCAGGCATTTAAGGCAAGTATGCATTCCAGAAAACCTGCAGTATTTCCAAATTTACTCAGAATTTCCAAAACAGCTGTGTAAGCCTGTAGTTCATTCTGAAGGACCACAAAGGCACAAAGGTAAGGTTGTTGAGCTTCTAATTGTGACCTAACTTCTTGAAAAAGGCTTACACCTTTGAGAGCTATATCATCATTATGGACATTATAATAGAGACTCGATAACAGTGTCTCTGAAAAGATACCTGGATCAAACTCTTACACCAAAATCACTAGACAAGAAGAGCTGATAAGCTGTGGTAAGACTTTAAATTTACAGAACATTATCTCAAAATTATGATACTAAATCTTTCATCTTAGACATTTTTGCCACAAGCTTTTCAAACAATAGAAATGCATGGTTAAGCTCCAAATCCTTTTCCTTCAACTACAGAGCAAAAAAGTGGGGAAAAGTTTAGCATTAACAAAAAGAAAAATTTATAGATGAAATGGTCTTCTCAATACTTTTAAACCACAATACCTCTGCACTGAACGAGGCACAACCAATCAAACACATGCCATTTTGGTTACTAATAGAGCTAAGATCTTTAGAACATCCATTTTCAACCAATGTTCAGGATTATAATTAATATTTCATATAAAGTTACTATCTATTTTTATTTTCTCATCTATATTTCTCCTTATTCAGAGAATATAGTATAGAATGCTGAAGTCTCCAATTCAGATTTTAACATACTTCAGACACGTGATCATACATGTATGGAAATCCAGAAAGAGGGCTGGGGACATAGCTCAGCGGTACAGCATTTGCCTACCATGCTCTGGGTTCAATCTCCAGCACCACACACACACAAAACCCAGAGAGGGATATATATTTAAGACTTTATGATGTATTATGACAGGGGATTTGCATATAGGAATTACATATCCACTTTATTAAGTAATGCAATAAAAGACCACACACATGCACATACTATCCCACATAAAATCTAACATTGTCTAAATCTATTTTTTTTAGGTTTCTGAGTTTTCAAATGTAGTCTATGTATACTGAATGACACCAAATGCAAACTTTAATAAGAGAGGTCTGAATCCTAGGTTTGTATTAATTTCCCATATAAACAAATTTACTTATGGAACAGGTTAAATTCTCAAATTGCTATTGATACCACTTTAATTTTTATTTTTTGGTCTTCTTGAGACAGGGTCTCGCTATGCAGTTCAGGCTGGCCTTGAGCTCACTTTGTAGCCCAGCTGGCCTCGAACTAGCAATGATCCTCCTGCCTCAGCCTCCTGAGTGCTGGGATTACAGGTGTGTGCCACCACGCCCGGGCTGATACTACTTTAAAATGTTAAGAAGGAAGTTCATTTACACACATATTGTTTAAAACTCAGAAGTTACTGTTAATAAGCTTTTTAAAAAAAATCTACAAACATAAGCAATTAGATCATTAAGTAAAATACCTGTTCATGTGGGCAGGCCCGTACCCTCCGATGGCATAGATCATTCCATCCAGTACAGCCGCAGCGAAACAACTTCTGGTTGTAGTCATTGGAGCCACAGGTTGCCATTTCCTTATTTTGGGAACATATTTCTCTACAGACTGTAAGTAAGACTGTCCATCATAGCCACCTAAAGCATAAAGTTCTCCTGCAAGTACTACGACGCCCAGGGTACTTCGGCTCTCATTCATTCTCTCTAGCGAAGTCCAGGTATTTGTGTCAGGGTTCCAGCATTCTACTGAATTTTCATGTTTTCTGATGGTGACACCAGGACGCACATTAGTTTCAATACCGCCTATAACGTACACTTTTTGGTCTAACACACATATTCCGAATTCATAGCGTGGAATGTTTAGGGGTGCTAAACCAATCCAAGAGTCATTCTGAGGAAAGTACATCTCCACACTGAAGAATAAGCAGAAAAGATTCATTTTTAAAGACAAAATGGCCCATAAACAAAAACATGTTGAAGCCCAGTGATCAGGAACATGCAGACTAAAGCCACAATAATTATGACATACGTTCCGGATTGGAAAAACAGTAAAGGTAGTAATAACCCTGGAATGAAGGTGGAGTAAGGAATGCATATTCTGGTGGTGACAGAATAAACTGGTATACCACTCTGGAAAGCAATTTTATATTATCTAATGAAGTCGAAGACAGATGCCTTCACTCAGCAATTTCATTCCTATGTGTCTAACAAATGTCTACCATAGCAAGTTTTACATTAGGAAACATACACGGAAATATTCACCAGAGCATTCATCTGAAAAATGGTTAAATAAGGTAGGGCATTTCTGTCCCATGACCAATTCCATTCTTCAATATGTGTCCAGGACAAGTGTGTATATTTGTAGATGTACGAGAGTGTTCACAGCGGTATTATTTGTCATATCCAAAGATGTTCATCAACCGTAAGTGGATAAAGTGAAGTATATCATACAAGAGAATATTGCTGAGATTGAAAATGAACAAAACACCTCGGGGGAACCTCGCACATAGAACGTAGAGGGACAGATGCCCAGCTCAAAAGAATATATATTTTGTGTTATTTAATTTATATCAAGTTAAAAAACATGAGAAACTAATGTCTGGATGACACATGCAAATAATGATTATCTCTGGGGCAGAAGAGAGAGAGGAGCAGGAGTGACTGCTGAGTGCTGGTGGGTTTTTTGTTTGTATTTTTAAGTACGGGGGGTTGAACCCAGGGCCTTTGAAGTGAGTACATCCCCACCCCTTTTTGTATTTTTCATTTTGAGACAGGGTCTCAACAAATTAGTAAGCTGCCCAGGCTAGACCTGAACACGTAATCCTCCTGCCTCAGCCTCCCAGAGTGCTGGAATTACAGGTGTGTACCACCATACCTTGGAAGGTCATGTTCTGTTTTTGAATTAGTTTATAATGTTCACTTTATGACAGTTCAGTGAGTTGTACATATGGGATTTGTATACTTTTCTGTATATGTTTCAAGACTTTGATACCTAAACTTTTTAGTGCAAAAGAAAAAACATGTAGTACGGCCATATACTACACCAAGTCAATGAAAGTAACTTACTGTTCTTATGCAATCTGGTAGATAAGTTTTACAAACTTACTACACTGTGAGAAAAGACACATCTAAAGAAGAAAGAAAAAACACATATATAGTACATGCCAAAATTATAATGAAAAGCAAATAATAATACACAGAAAACTGAGGACAGTGATTACTTCCGGAGCAGGGAGGGAAATGGAACCAAGGAGAGACAAATACGAATGTTGAAATTATTGTCAGTAGTCTATTAGCCGGACATGGTGGTGCAGGCCTGTAATCCCAGCACTCAGGAGGCTGAGGCAGGAGGATCACCAGGAGTTCGAGGTCAGCCTGGGCTACATAGTGAGTTGAAAGCTAGCCTAACTACACAGCAAGACCCTGTCTCAAAAAAACAAAAAACAAAACAAAACAAAACAAGTCTATTAAGATGCTTGATAGGTCCCTGTCTTAGTCTGTTTTCAGTTGCTAATATCACAAAACCATGGGCTGGGAAAGTTATAAAGAAAAGAGGGCAGTTTGGGCCGCTGTAGCTTCTAGCCTAAATCACAGGGCTGCATCTTTTGATGGCCATCTTGGTGGCAGAGTCAAGAGGCAGCGGCAGGGTGACACATAGCGAGAGACAAGGAGCATGCATGCGTGTACTCCGGTCTCGCTCCCTCCCGCTACAGAGCCACCAGTATCCAACCACAGAGACCTCACCCCGATGACTCTCTAACCCTCCTCACCTCCCAAAGACGCTACTCTACACACTGTGCTCAGTCTCCGTACTTCCCTCTTAGTACCTCACAATGGGAAGTAAGTTTCCACAAATGAACCCCCGGGGCACACAAGTCACATAGCTCTCCTTCTGGCTCCCGAGGCTTATATCCTTCCCACAAGGGCAGAATAACTCATTCAAGCATAAATTCAAAATCTCACGTAAGACTCATGGCTGTAAGCCCTTGTAAAAAGAAAAAAAAGAAAAAAAAAAAAAAAGATACAGTCTATCTCCAAAAGGGATAAACACCCAAGTAGAAAGGAGTAACCCACCCAAAGCGAGCCTGAAACCCAGCAGGGAAGACATTAAACCTAAAGTTCCAAGCTCCAGCAGTCCTATGCATACTGCAGTGAGGGGCAGAACCCCAAGATCTCCGGCCGCACCACCCTGTGGCTGTGCTGGTTGTAGGCTACTGGTTGTGCATACCGGCCGCAGTTTCCCCGAGGGGCCACTGCCTGTTGCTGGTAGCTGTACCTTGTTGGTCATTTCAAACCCTATGGCTTTACTAAGCACGGCCCCAGCTGGGGTCCTCTGCAGGGGTTCTAACTCTGCAGCAACTTTTCCCCTGGTCTTCCAGCCTTTCCTTTGCAATTGTGGTGGAAGCTGCGCGTGATCCAGTAAGTCCTGCGCACGGCAAACTCAGCACAACGTAGACATCGAGGCCTGGTGCGTGAGCTGTGACTGCCTAACCACAGAAGCAGCCGTGGAGTGCTTCGCTGGCTGAAGGCAGGGAAGTAAATCCGAAGCGAGCCCCAGGAAGCAAGCACATGGAGGGCTCCCTGGGGCTCTTCCATAAAACAATTCCGGCTTGGAATCCCTTCAGAACTTTTTCCAGTTTTCCCAGTGCAAAGCAACTGGCTTCCTTTTATTCTTTAGCAAGAGGCTTCTTGGCCACACCCTTACATGCTTTTTCACTGCTCCTTCCCTGCCCAGGATGCAAAATTTCAAATCTTTCCACTCTGCTTCCTCTTGATCCCAAGTCTCAGTGTAAGTCTAAAAGTAGCTAATCACAATGCTTGAATACTTCACTGTTCAAAGTGTACCCTTCAAATAAAATGTCCTATTTGATTCCCTTGAAATTTGCCCTTACATAGAGCTCCAGGGAATGTATATAATGCAGCCAAGTTCTTTGCCATGGTATAACAAGGAAGGCCTTTCAAATCTCACCCCCCCCAAAACACAAATCCTCATTTCAGCCAGGCATAGAGGCACATGTCTGTAATCCCAGGTACTTGTGAGGCTGGAGAAAGATTGTCAATGTCAGTTTAGTGAGAACTTGTCTCAAAATAAAATAAATAGGCCAGGCAAGGTGGCACATGCCTGTAACCACAGCACTTGGGAGGCTGAGGCAGGAGGATTGCTGCAAGTTTGAGACCAGCCTGGGGTACAAAGTGAATTGAACTGCAAAGTGAGTCTGAACTACATAGCGAAATCCTGGCTCAAAACGATAAACAGAGAGAGGAAAGAAAGAAAGAAAAAGAGAGAGAAAGAGAGAGAGAGAGAAGGAGAGAAGGAGAGAAGGGGAGAGAAGGAGAGAGGGAGAGAGAGAAAAAAAGAAAAAAGAAAGGAGAGCAAGCAGGCAAGCTGGGGGCGGAGCTCAGTGGTACAGTACCCGCCTAGCAATCCTCCGTACTAGAACCCCCCAAAATTCCTCATTTCCACCTGGTATTAGTTCCCTAGTTTCTTCAAACTTCTTCAGAATTGCCCATAATTGTTCATGCATAGCACACTAGGAATTTTCTAGGCTGCTCCTCAAAGCTAATAACCAGTCTGTTACCAAATTGAAAAGCTACTTCCACATATTCAAGTACTGATTAGGCAGTATCTCTACTCCTGCCAATTTTCTGTTCTGTTTCACTTTGTTACTGTAATGAACTGCCTGAAGCAGGCTAACTTTATAAAACACCAACATGTTTATTTAGCTCACAGCTCCAGAGATTTGAGGGCCAAGTGTCAGCACTGACGTGGCTCTGCTGAGGACCTCGTGGCACACAGTGTCACGATGGCAGGAGCACACGTGAAAGGAAGAGATCGCATCTCAAATCAGGAAGCCAGACAGCTGTGTGGAGCCAGGTATACTTTTTGTGTACCTCTCAGAGGACTCAAGGACACCATGTGAGCAACCACAATTCCTTATTAGGGCGTGCCCTCCCTAACTGACCTACAGAGCTCCTTCCAAGCCCCACCTCCTACAGGTCCCGCCACCTCAAGGACACCATGCCAAAGATCAACATGTGCACCCCTGAAGGATAAACCGGACCCAAAACAGAGCAGTCTTTGGTGCATAACATTTCATTACCCCCAATATATTTGGTGCATGTATTTCCATTATCCTCCAAAATTGGAAAATTAACCTATGTCCCCAAACTCAATACAATAGCATGAAATATAAGTATTCTTATGCAGTGTGACCAAAATACATTAATTCAGTAGTTAGTGAATATCTATTTATAGTCAGTATTGTCATAGTGTTTGTTTTTAAAAATGTGAATTTGTACCAATGAGAATGATGTTATCAGCGAACAATTTGGCTTTAACAAGAGAAGTATCTCTGAGGTGATGGAAATAAACCTTGAGTGGAAAAGCTCAAGAAAGAATGGGAGGTGAGAAGCGAAAACAGTGGCATAGACGAATTTCCAGTGGTTTTTACTAAAAAGAGTAAAAGAGATGAGGAGGCAGCTACAAAGTGCAGCACAGAAAGGTCATAAGGAGCACAACAGATTCATCTGGGAGCTTAAACCAAAATATGTTTGCATTCTGCTGGGACGGGTGTAACTAGCACATAAGGAGATGATGCTACAGGAAAAAGATGGGATAATTAGAAAAGCAAACACTGTGAAGAAGAAATGGAATCTAACGAACATGTGGGAAAGTGGAAGAGTTCGTTTATATGGGAATAATAGATTTGGTGACAGGAAGATGAGGTACAGTACTTCTTTAGATACCTCTATCTTCTCAGCAGGATAAGCGAAAAGGTAGTGAGCTAATCACTGGGAAAGGTCTAGGATGCTCTTAAGGACAGCACTGGTGGTAAAAGACAATCCCAAGAATTAAAATAATTGGGACAATTCAGAGTGCTAAAGGCCCCACATGAGATGCGTCAAGGAGGACATGTGGATTTCTCTTGCCTTGTTCTAGGGCTCAGGGGCAGCTATGGCACTGCGGATATGATTTTAACTGAGTATGATGAAAGAACAGAAGGGCACAATGTCAACACAATGGGGGGACAGGCATTCCCATCGCAAAGGAGAAGCAGGCAAGAAAGGGGTAACCCAGCCCAACTAAGCCCAAAACCCAACAAGGATAAACAATATTAAGTTGTAATGCTGAAGAATTATCTCAGCTGACTCTATATCCTGCGTTCTGGGTGCACCATTGCAGGAGCTGGGCCACCAAGGCCTCAGTAGGACCTGACTCCATGGCTTTGCTGGGTTCAGTGTGCCTGGTACCTCTCATGGGCTGGAGGTTTGTGTTTATAACTCTCTTCAGGCTGGCTGTATGCTAGTAGCTCACAATTTGGAGGCCTTAGTGATATCCCCACTCACATGGCTCCACTAGGCACTACCCTAGTGTTGACCGTTTATGGTGGTCCGTGCCGAGCTCCACCAGACATTTTGGACTGGGACTCTCTACAGCAGCTCCACCTCACAATCTTCCTGTCTCAGCTTCCCAAGTAGCTGGGATTACAGGCATGTACCACCATACCCAGCTACTTGGATATTTAATACTTCAGTATGTCTAAAACTGTACATTGTTTTTTCCTCAAAAGTGGTTCCGCCTCTTCCTCCACTGTCTTGATACTAAACCATTCAACTAGTCATTTAATCATGAAATCTCATTCATCTTTCATTTCTCCCTCTTCTTCTCCATCCCTCCTCTATATCCAAACACCAAATCCTGTCCATTTACGCTGAAAACATGTCTTAAAGTCCTATTATTTTATTTTTTTACTATTTATATTCTATCCCAGGATCTAAAAAAATCTCATTTGTATTCCTAAAATACCCTCTTACATAATCTCTCTGATGCTAATCCTGTTGCCTCAATCTTATATACCCTCCTTAAAATACTTCTCAATACCCGTAAGTCTTCTTTTCAGCACAGCATACAATAACTTCTCTGACTTGGCCCAAATTAACCATTGCTTGACTTCATTAGAACTGCATTTGTCAGTGCCAAACCACTTTTACTTTCCTGCATAATCTATTTGCACGTGTTCTTGTGACCCTCACTGGGCTCTTAGCTTTCGACATTCATCCAGGACACTAACTTCTATACAAACACTTCCTTCAACTCCCCAGATGGGATAAATGCCTCCCTTAAGAATGCCCAGAATTATCTTTATTTTTTGCAGAAACACTTAGTGTTATAATTATCTACGTAAATACTTTTCTCCTTTACTAAATTATGACATTTTGGAAGCTCCATTATGTAGTAGCATTTGATGCATAGGTATTTAAAATTTTTTTGTAGAGTTAAATTGAATGATGATTCAGGCTCGTTCCAGTTTTTCCATAGTCATAAAAACCCTACAGTAAACAGCTCTGTGCTAATGGTGTTTTAATTTTATTATATTTGGAGACAAAAGATTAGTAACTAGTTCTAAAACTATGAACAGCATTTAAACCTCTTCAAAAACTTATGTTCATTATTTTTAATATTTGAGAAACCAAGAGGCAACCATAGATTTTCTGCACTATATATGCATATTTGGAAATTTTTGTTATATTACTCATTTACTTTGTCCCAATAATCCATGCCTTTAAGAGTTAAACAATTTGTGTACGCTACCACCATTAATGCTCTACCTGAAGTGCAATCTCAACAATACTAGTTTTAGACTACAGTTAAAATGTATAGACAAGGCCGTGAGTTCGGTTCCCGGTACCGGAGAAAAACCAAAAAAAAAAAAAAAAAAAATGTATAGAGAAATTCTTTACAAGATTCAGAATGTGTTACCATTATTAATGATGAAACAATAATTCCTGACCATCAGATAAAGAAAAGCAATCTATCAAATTTTTGGATATGACAAGAAAGAAATCCACAGTAGTGAAGGACCATATCAAACACCAAAGTCATGAAGCAACCCTACCCAAGGGAAAAAAAAAAAAAAATCAAGCTGTATTTTGAATATCTAAAAGTTATTTAATGCCCTAAGTCGAGGGTTGGGAGTCTATGGCCTTAGGCCAAATCCAGCCCATGAGTTATTTTTGTGAAGTTTCACTGAAACACTGATGCTCACGTATTTAAGTATGTCTGTATCTATTCTCACACCACAATGGCAGACTTGGGTAGACCTGACAAAGACCATGTAGCTCACACAGCGTAAAGTACTACTATTTTAGCCTTTGAAGGAAAAGTCTTGACAGTTCTTGCTCTAAGTTGTTAGGAAAAAAGCAACTTCTACAATTGTCTTTAAAAAAAAAACATGGTGACAAAATAAACTGCATATAAAATCCACGATTTTACAGCAACATCCTATTTTTTCTCATTTCTATACTGATTCTTCTACTTAACTATTTTCACTCAAACTCATTCCTGTCCCCAATCTGCTCCTATCACATGTATGTAGCTAGCTCTCTTTAGCATCTTCTCATACATCTGACAATAATAAATCTCCCCTCCAACCGGTCTGACCCAAATAAAGATGTAAATGGTTTCAGAGGAAAAAAGGTTAGTGACTAACTATGATGGAAAGAGCTCCATGCTTGGGGAGGGGACAGGGTTAATAATTAAGAGTACTGCGACACATGGATGACAATGTGATTAAAACAACTACAAAAATATTTTAGGAGGCAGCAAATAAAGTTTTAAAAAGAAGCAAATGAAGTTTAAAATTAACTTATTTTTAAAATACAAAAAAATTAGCGCACTGAAAAAGCACAAAATCCATTAGCATCATCCCTTTAAGAAAGCCTTCTATTTACCTATCCAAACAGGCAAAGAGTCCAGATTTTCCTCCTACTGCACAAAGTACTTTGGGGGCACAGCGAGGTCGCGTTACCAAGATTGTCTGATGAGAAAGTCTGTGCTCAGGCATAAAGTGGTACTTTAGGGCCTCGTTCAAAAGATGTTTACAAGTGCGATCATCGCGAATAAGATGATTTGCTTCATACAGCCTAGTGAGAAACTTAACACTCAGCAATGGTAACCGTACACTGTTTAGTAGCTGTGCTAAGTACTTCTGGCGCTCTTGTACATCGTACTTGATCCAAGACTCCAATGCATAAAAAACAGTCTCTTCGGTAGCTACATTCAGACAGTCATTGGAAACAATTTCATCCAAATCAGCATGTGGAAGCTCAAAAAACTCTTCTGTCTGGCAAACGGCTTCAAAATTCTGGCATATGTATTTAGTGGCCGCCAAATAAAGGTCGTGACAACCATACGTCTCTGCAAAACGAGAAATTCCAATACAGTTACCAGGATCGAGTTGGCTTTCAAGAAATGCACAGCATTCCTTCAGGACAAGCTTTACTTGGAGTAGGTTTGCTGCTGGAAGAAGAGATTCGACTGTGTCCTGAGAAATAAAAACGGTTCCTGTATAGGCATACTCCACGATGGCCTGGAGGGCAGTCTCATCAATGCACTGAAACTCCACCTCGCTGTTCTCTTTTTCTGAGAGATTTCCCGTGAACATTGCTTTGAAATACGGGCTGATGCTGGCAAGTACCACTTTGTGAGCATGAATTTTAACATCACCTACGCGAAGAATGACGTCACAGAGTTCGTGATGCTGACGAAGAAGATTCAGGCCCTGCAGAAGTTGCTCAGAATGTAAGTGGGTTAAGTTAGCAAGCATGTAGGTTGGGGATGTGTGGTCCATCTACAGAAAAACAAAAAGCATAGACAGTTATTTTAAAGTAACTGTGCCAATGTAACTGTGCTTCAAATAATACCACATAACTCAAATTTCTTATTTATTTGCCTGTGGGGTTTGAACATTAACTACTTGAAAAGACTTTTAGAGTTCGAAAGAATTTAACAACCATGTAATTACACTCCTTTGGTACAGCTCTTAGGAGGTAGAGATGCAAAATGTTACATAATACTCCCCAAGTCATAAAGGTCTCTGGACAATGAATTTCTGGATGAAAACTGCCAAATCCTTCATCCTATTTCTCCTCATTAAATTCAAGTCTGATAAATGGGAAGGGGACAAGGAAGTAGAGGGAAAGTAGAAGGTGGGGCAGGGGACATGAACAGAATTAAGTTGTGTTATATACATGTATCAACTCCCCATGATGAATGTAATCATTATATACCACCAATATGTACTAATAAAATTAAAAGTAAATTCAAGTCTGATCTATCAGTGAAAATGGAAATATGGGAGGGTAGCATTTTGCTTGAATTAAGCAAAATTCATTTTGAAACAACACTACTTAGTTCTTTATCAACGGTAAGACCAGTGCCTTTACTTGGAAAGAAATTTCATGTTAACTCAAATTCTTTACCTTAACTTTCAATAATTTAACAAACCCAGCAGCACTGTCAATTAATTCTACAGAATCCAATGTTCTACAGTGAAGGCAATAAATAAGACTTACTGATCTACACCATAGCAACTCAACTCTTGATTACAAATTCAGATTATACCCACTCAATCATTACATGTAGAAAATGAAAAAGAATAAAATAAGAAAAAAGAAAAACTGGAGAGACAGTAAATACTGTGGTAGGCAGAAAATGGCTCTCCAAAAGACATTCACACTGTAACCTCTGGGATATGTGAATGTTACTTTATATGGCAAAAGGGATTTTGAAGATGTGATCAAGGACTTGAGATGGGAGATTAAACTGGATTACCCAGGTGGGCCCTAAACACAATCAACTTGCATCTTATAAGAAAGTAGAGGGCTATCTGACACAGGCATTAAGATGGAAAAGCCTACACAGTAACTACCACAGCAGAGACCAGAGGGCTGCGACCACACACTAAGGAATGCTGGCAGCCACCAAAAGGTGGAAGAGGATGTCTACTGATACTAATTTCAGACTTCTGGCCTCCAGAACTGTGAAAGAATTCATTTCTGCTGTTTAAAGCAGAGTTTGTGTTACAGCAGCCCTAAAAAATTAATACACGGTATTTTGGAGTGGATCACAGCAGTTGCTTAGAATAAACAAAAGGCACAGAAGATGGCTACATAATATGACCTATTTCCTCCCTGTCTCACTCACAACTCACACACAAGTTATGGAGAAATCAGTAAAAAAGCAGCATCAAATTTATTAAAAGGTTTTGAACTCTGTTAAAGAATTTAAGTAATGGTTAAACTGGGAAAATACAGCGTTTCATTCCTGGTTTTTAAATAGGAAAATCCAAATACTGAAATCTTTATCTTCACCAAAAACTTCCATTATTTCACACTTGTTGCACAGCACATTTTAAGTCAGTTGACAAATTACATTAGTATTGCCACCTTACAGCTGATAATCATCCTCTGCATGTTTTTTAAAATTTTTTTATTTAAAAAAATAAAAGAAGGAAAACATATTAACAGACAGACATCCATTTACAAAATAGCGTAAGAACAATACAAACAAAACAGACTTACAGATAGTTGTAGGAAATTAACCAGTCATCCTCCACATTTGATCTCTCCAAATAACCCCAACACCCATTTACCATAAAAATTCTTGGGGCTGGGGATACAGCTCAGGGGCACAGCGCCTGCCTGGCAAGCGCAAGGTCGTGAGTTCGATTCTTGGTACCAAAACAAAAAGCTCAAATCCCATAAAAATTCTCAAAGCATTATTTCAATCATGGAATGAACAAGTCTAAAGAAATTTCTTGGTCTTCCTGTAGCAACTTTCTATTTAAAAGAGAATACTGCTGAGAAGCCAGCAATCAGAAGGTATTAAATTCAGATATGGACATGTTTTATTTCTACAGTGCTGACCTTTATAAATTTCCTTTTGCCTCAGTTTTCATAAGGAAGTGTGTAGACTGAAAAATGAAGAATGAACAAGATGTCAGAGAAAACGGGCGACTGAGTTAATACTGCCGTCCTGTTTGACATCTAGTTAAGTGTACCTTCACTTGTCATCCTTCTACTTGCAAAATGGGACCACAGTAGTGGCCAAACTACATGGCTCACAAGGACTTTGAGAATCAGATCATGAAAACATGATACACTGTAAGAGTTTCAAGTACAGGGTATTATGTAAAGCAGTTAGAGACAGAAGATAATTTTAGTTCCAACTGGGTCAAATATTTTTAGGTGGAATTGGTGTATTTCCTAATCAAAGTATTGATTTTTTCAGGCATAAATAACATTTGCTATCTTCCCTGAATATTTTCTTACCACATGCCATATACCCTTTCTCTTCCCTCATCTCCCTTTGTCCAATTCAAAGTCTCAAAAGTCTATGTCAAATTTAACTTTACCTGAAAGTCTATTCCTTTACATGCAATTAATATAATTACATGTTATTTTGCAAAACACAGCTTTTCTGATTCTCATTTTCCTAATTTAACAAGAAGAATTATATTCAGACTGGAAAGTGATGAATTAGCAATGGGAAAGGTAAATGGATACAAAAAATGAGAGACTGAAAATGAAGACATAGAATTTTATAAGTTCATTTTTATCTCAGACTAAACAAGTGTGTTCCAAGATAATTTAAAAGAACCCACAAATGAAATCCCTGAATCACTGCCAGTGCTACAAAATTGGAGGCTAGTTTCAAAAATAAGACAGTAAATCCTATAATTGAGGATGTAGAGATGCCCAAGCCCAGCATACATGAGCTAATAATAGGACATGTCACACACTAACCTTGTTTTTTTTCAAGTGTTAAACGTGTACGTCAAGAAAGTACACTTAAAATTTAACTACATGTTAGTAAAGAACTTATAATTTGCCTTTCATGATTTTCTTGAGACAAACTAAAAAAAAAAAAAAATAACCACCTAGTTTAGTTAGCTAAATTAGCAACTGGACGCACAGCCACACCCAGCACACACTGCTTACTGGAATGAGGGCGGGAGGGATGTGCCCAGGGGTGTGCTATAACGGGCTACAAAGGCCAAAATGAACAGACTCAAACTACAGCTTTGTTGATACTGTGAAGCTGCAAACACAGCAAAAACAATGAATAACCAAATGTGGATCCAACAAGACCTGAAGAAATTTAAGAGGCATAAATGTCACCAATATGTCACCATTCTACCGTAGATTCCAAAGCAACTACATGCCTAAAATGAAGTGTGACTCATCTGGAGGACATTTTAAAAGGGTTTAGGGGTTTAATTTTACTACTACTTTAATACACAAAGGCTTTGTGGGCTTAAGCTATATTAATGGAACTATAATACACAGAAATTAGAGAGGGACATTTTCATTTTGCTCTGGAAATGTCAGGCTACCTGTGGAGTAGATTTGAGGTTCCCATCCTTTAAAAAGAATATAAACAAACAATAACACCTTCTGAAAAGAAAAAATTCAAATGCTGTCTTATGGGTAACAGAACTGAGAGTACTCAGTCTGGAGAAAGAGATCTGAGGAAGATCATGTGAAAAACCACAGGATAAAATTTACTTGTAACAACATTTTTTTGTTGTTTTTTTAGACAGGTCTCACTATATAGTTCAGGCTGGCCCTGAACTGAACTATGTAGGTTAGGCTGGCCTCGAAGTCACAGTGATCCTTCTGCCTCAGCCTCCCGAGCACTAGTATTATACGCGCATGCACTACCACGCCCCGTTACAACATTTTTTTTAACCACTGCAACTAATAAATTCTATTCATTTGAAACATCATAATTTATTTTCCTCCAAAGTAATAAAACAGTATCAAAATTTAAAAATAGGTCAACTTAAGGGCACTGCTAAAGATAACAAAAGAACTCTAAGCATGTGCATCGTTATACCGAAAGCAAAAGACATTGTGTTAATTCCTTTTAAGAACTACTGTGACTAAAGTTTAAGGAAGTATACTTTAAGGCACAATGAAAATAATTCCAACTAAAAACTTTAAAAACCAAAGTAAAAATAAGCAATTCAAAATAAATCTCACTTTAGCTGGGCATGGTGGCTTGCACCTGTGATCCCAGCACTCGGGAGGCTGAAGGAGGAGGATCGTTGCAAGGTTAACACCAGCCTGGGCTACAAAGTGAGAGCAAGGCCAGCCTGAGCTGCATCATGAGACCCTGTCTCAGAAAGACTAAATAAATAAACAGATAGATAAAATCTCACTAGGCTTGCATTATAGCACTCTTAGAAACAATAAGACCCTTTTCTTCTCTCAAGAAATATGAATTAGAAATTCATAGAACTTTAACTTTTCAAATACAGAGCTCTAAAACAGTCCCCAAAACACGGTCCTCACACCCAACAGCTTCAGCATCATTTGTGGGCCCGCTAAAAACACAAATTCTTCTGTTTTAATTAATTACGTTTATTAGTACATTTTAGGTATACATAATGATCACATTTATCGCAGGGAATTTGCACCTGTACATGATATAACCTGATTCTTTTTTTCCCCCATTCCCCTACCCTCCCTTCAACACCTCTTCCCCTCCTTATTTACAAAAGCTTTGTTTCCATTTTTCCCTTTTTTTCTCATTTTATTTTTCTCCCTCTCTTCCTTTTAAAACATTAATTCTTGAGCACTACACATCACAGCACACACAGGTGGGAAAAGACTGGACAAACTGTTCTCTTCCTCCACCCCTGGGGGAAGAGAACTCCCATGCATGACAAATTTGGGAAGCAGTGAAACTATTTTTAGCATAAGTGCTCAAATATTATTGCAAATTACAGTTGTCATTCATTCGAAATTATGAATAACTACTGTGACTACATTGGGTTCTAAAAGT